ATGAATGGGACATCTCTTCCAGGTCAAAGTTTCTATTGGAACTATCCGCCACAAAACCAGTCCATTTACATATTAACATATATTAACACACTTTTCTTCAAAAAAGAAAAAAAAAAAGACTAATGCTAGTTGTCCATGATCCTTGCCTGTAACCCCCATATTTGGAAGGATAAATTAGGAAGATTAAGAATTTGAAACCAAGTCAGACATGGTGTCATATAAATAATTCCAGCACTCAGGAGGCAAAGACAGGCAAGTTGGAGGCCAGTCTGGTCTACAAAGTGAATTCCAGGACAGCCAGTGCTCTGTAGAAAGACTTGCCTCAAACAAACTACCTTAAACCAGCCTGTGCTACACGGTAAGATCAAGATGTAGCTAATAATGATATATTACAGATTTTCTACATGTAAGTCAACTGTCTTGATAAAAATTTTGTGACTTTAACTTTAGCTAAAAACAACTCAGCCGAATGACCAGTGTTTTAGACTCAAAGAAAGCTGGTCCTGAATTGCTGGGTTTCGGAGTGAGGAGTACTGAGAGATGATGACAGTAACTGAAATTAAACGTCTTCATACTCAGGATGGACGAGTTCACACCAGTGAGAAGAGCTACAAAGCCACGGCCATCAGGCTGGCACGACCCAGGTTATGCTGATCTGTGGCCAAGATCTATTCTTACAGACACCATCCCTGGCTCTGTGAGAGTCTCAGCGGGCCTGACGACACTGCTCCTTTAGAGACAGAAATGCCTTCAGTTATCTTGTAGTTCCAGCACAGACATATAAAGTGAGGGTCAGAGCATAGGCGTCACCTCTCCTCTCCCGTGAAATGACAATACTGGTAGTTACTTCATTATTCTGAGGTTTTTGGAGTTTGAGCTCATTTGACAAATACTGAATGGATATCATTATGACATGGATGGAAAGGAGTTTAAAGACCCAAATGTTACAGCTTTAAATACTATGTGTCTCCCCTTAGACTTATACATAACATAACTCATCAGCCAACCAATATGTGAGCACCTGCTGTATGCTAGACACCATGCTATTTGCTTTGAGATCCATCATCAAACAAAACAGAGAAAGACCCTAACTTCATAGAATCTAGCAAAATGTATAGATGTACAATAATAAAAATAAAATAGTTTAGAAACTATTAAATGCTATTTTAAAAAAGAAAAGAGTGGGTGTGAGGAAGTTTGGGGATGCCGGGTAGGGGAGAAATCATCACCTGTGGCTGCTTTACTGCCCTATGCACAGGTAAGTGGGAAGGTGAAAGATGCAGGAACTCAGTGAGCCTGGCAGGCAGGTCAGGAGAGACCCCAGTGGCAGGCAAAGCCAGATCACGGAGAACCTTGCAAGCCACTTTAAGGTCATTAGATTTTTTTTATTCCTTTTAGGATTACACATGACATATATTTTTAATCAAAAAAGGAAAACTAAGTGAGTGAATTGTAGGCATACTAAAACTATCCCTTGGAGGTAAAAAGCTAAAAGGAATTTTTATCAAAAATCCCTCATTTAAAACACTGCATCAGAATTAACTTGTTATAAATTCCCTCTAGTTAACACAGAAAGCAGGAAGTACAACATATTAACCAGAGACTTTGTAGTATGCAGTGGACCAGAATTTTAATCCTGCAACTGCTGCCCTCATGGGCATTGAAAACACTTGTTAATTCTCCTATAATAAACATCCAAGATCCAATCTCAAACCACTATTAGCATTCTGTTATGAAAAGCACAGCCACGCTAATGTCAACACACAAATATAATCCAGCACCTATAAAAAATAGAATTAGTGGCAGCTTATTGCCTTATGCAAACTTAATTAACTTGGCAACCATGACAGAGGAATTAAAACATTTTTAGGACCTATGTAACAGACAGCTTAAAACAATAAAAGTGTAAGAACCGTCTGTTCGCCAAGTGTGCGAAAACACTGATGAAGTAAGTGGAATGTCAGGGCCACGGGATGGCTCAGTAGTGAAGGTGCTTGCAGTTTGAGTGCAATCTCAGGAAGCCACAGATAAAGAACTAATTCTTCCAAGTTATCCTTTGACCTCTACACAAAGGTGGCCTGGGCGAGAGCCTTGATACTGATGATGGTGAAGAGTGGCCAGATTCCAGATACTCTGAAAGGCAAGTCATCAGGGCTCCCTGACTCTATCAGGGGTGTGATGTACAAGGTGGGGCTAAAGAACAATGGGGTTTGCCGGGCGGTGGTGGCTCACGCCTTTAATCCCAGCACTCGGGAGGCAGAGGCAGGCTGATTTCTGTGAGTTGGAAACCAGCCTGGTCTACAAGAGCTAGTTCCAGGACAGGCTCCAAAGCCACAGAGAAACCCTGTCTCGAAAAACAAAAAACAAACAAACAAAAAAGAACAATGGGGTTTGAGGCCTGACTCTCTGCAAGGATAAAGTGACCATCTCCTGAGATAAGCGCAGTAAGGGGCAGAGCAAGTTTGGGGTGGCTGTTCATATTATGTCTGGAACAGCCAATAGTCATGCAAATGGAGATATTTAAGTGAGTGCGTGCACCTACATCTCTGGTGAAAATTCACCAAAGGGTCTGGGCTAGAGATACCAAAGTCGTGTGTACTGTCTGAACTCAGGAGACTAGAAGAAACTTCTAGTAGACATGGATAAAAAGGACCAAAAAATAAGGCTTGGGACATGGGGTAGGGCAGAGAGGAGCCCAGCAAAGAAACTTTGAAATGACAAGATAGGAAGTGATGGAGAATATTAGAAAGATGAGAAGCTAACCAAGAAACAGCTCTCAGCCAAAGAGGACAGGACATGAAAACTGGTTCCTTAGACATTAACATATCCTTAATCTGATCCATGAGACTTGTGTTCATATATTGAGACTATATGTGGATAGGCTTAAAAGAGAGGTTACTGATTCTTCCCTTTTCAAAAAGTCAACTGCAAGCAATCCTGGTGGTACAGACCTGTATCCTTGTACTTGAGAGGTGGAAGCAATGGATGAGAAGTTTAAGGTCAACCTGAGCTACATTTAAAGTTTGAGGCCACCCTAAGCTACATGAAATCCCCTATACACACATCAAAATACAAAAAAAAAAATTAAATTTACAAAGTTGCTCTGAGAATAAACATAGACATTCTTTTTCAAATCATGGACAGAGCCATGAGAACATGTATTATGCTTCTGAAGTTTAAAGAAAACCAAACTGAAAAGTTCAACACTCAAGTTGATCAAAGCCCAGTTTTAACAAAACACTTCAAGCTCAGGGCCCAGCGTCAACACTTTCCCTACTTCTCTACGCAGAAAATGTCTTTCTCCTGTGAGTCTGTGAACCAGGAGTTATCATGGTTTATTTCACTTACTTCACAGCTTTATGGTGAAAGCCAGATGAAGTAATATGCAAAATTGGTTAACTGATACATTGCAAACCTTATTACCATAAACTGCCCATTTCTCTGCGTATTTTCATCTTTTAGTACCAAAAAGAATTAGAAAAGAAAATAAGAAAAGCTGGGCTTGGTGACACACCCCTGTAACTTGGGAGGCAAAGAAGGAAGATTCACAAGGGCTAGCCTGAGCTACACGTCTCAAAATGGAGAGGAGGGGGATACACAGTAATTATGTTCTTGACTGAGAAGGAGTAGGCTGGTAAAACTGATTCTTTCTCAATGACCCATAGTCCAACAAAAACTAACTCAGTGGTTTTAGAGACAATGTAAGAATGAAACGTACGATTAGATCAGGTTTATCTACCATGAACGCCGCATGGCACAGGTGACTATCCCTAGTCCTTCCCCGTTCCCTCCTACCTCCAGCCCGGCTGCAAGAGCACAGTATGGAGAATTCAGAAATCAAAATTATTCTTTCATCCAGACATGCTCCCCAGCTGTCATCACCACACCTTGGCTTGGTTGCTTTCTTAACGTGCACTGGGAACTACAAAGGACTCCTGGCGTCGTTACTAGCTGACCCTCTAGATCCAGTCATTTCATCAGCCACTGCTACTTTTACCAGAACTTTTAACTAAAGAAAAAATGTAGATATCCCTACATAGACTGGAAGCTTTAAAAAAAATCCAAGTCTTCACATTTAGTTACTACATACACAAAAGAAAAACCAAAGTAAATGTCATCTTTGTGTTTATTTTCCACCACAAGCAGTAAAGAAGAAAACGAGGAGGAAGAAACAGAGAGAGCTCCTCTGAGGACATTTTCCTACGTGCGAATCCCTCCACGCTGCTTATTCTCATTGCAATGTCAATGGGCTGAATTTTGACATTAAAGGAAGCAGCATAAACTGCTTGAACACTTGAAATCCTAATTTCCCATAAAACTTTAAGGCTCTTCTCTCATTTAAAACTTCCCTATCGTTTCTCAAATTCTTCTCTCAAGAGAATTCCTGTTTTCCCAGAAGTATTCCACAAACAGAATGTTTCTTTGTGTCCGTCACTGGCATTTTGTTAAGCATTTAATTTCTGCATCCATCTATTGAAAATTATTAATATTAACAAGGTCGTTACACTAGCTTTATCCCTGAGTAAGATCAGCACGCTACTTCTAGATCTTTCTTGGACACTTCTTTTGGTGAGGGTTCACACTGGCTGCAGTGGAGGTCAGAGGACAACCTTCATGAGTGGGGTTCCCTCCTCCCACCAAGTGGGTTCCAGGCCTCAGACTCAGGCTGCCAGGCGTGACAGCAAGTGCCTTTCACCACCGAGCCATCTTACCCCGTATCAAATACCTTACCTTGATCTGACTCCTTCCAAGGTATTAGTTGTCCTTTCAAAATTGCTTTTGTTGGGGACTTCAAAATGCTGAAGCACACCATCAGAGTCTCTGTTTAGCAGTCTGATGGGGAAACTGTTCTTGTTTGAATGACCTTAATTCCCAAAGTCTGGGGTCCCAACCAGGACAATGCCCGAGGCCGACTTCAGCCTCGCCTGTCTCTCTCCTCTAGATCTCCCTGTGTGAACAGAGACATTTATCTACAGACAGAGCCAAAGATGCATACTCACCAAGTGGACATAAGGCACAAAGTATCCAAAGAGCGCAAGTGGAATTCCGGCGGCCCACACTGCATAAGCTGTCACCTTGAAGATGGCAAAATTGAAAAATTTCTTTGGAGGACTAAACTTTCTCCGGGAAAAGAAGGAGAGCCTGCTGCCCTCACTCTCTTTCTCTTTGGTGCTGGGAACAAGAGGTCGGTAAGTAAAGCCAGCCAGGAAGAGCACAAACATGAAGATGCAGAGGACTCTCAGAGTGTAAAAGAGGCCCACGCTGTTGGTCAGGTTCCCTAAAAGCAAAGGGAGTAAAATTGTGAAGACACTGCTGCCGGCCGTGACGATGCCATTAACTAGTCCGAGGCGCTTCTTGAAGTAGTGTCCCAAGATAACCAGTGAAGGCTGGTATGCAAAGGAGCAGCCGCAGGCAAATATGATTCCATAGGTAAGATACAGAGGCTCGATGGAACTGCATAAAGAGGAGACAGACAGAAAGCGGCTTTAATCTTTTGCATGGTGCTTAGTAGAATAACACCTCATATAGGGGCTGGAGACACAGCTCAGCAGTCAAGAGCATCTGCTGATCTTGCCTGACTCGGCTCCCAGCGCCCACATGGCAGCTCACAACCACTGTGACTCCAATCCCAGGGGATCTGATGGATTCTTCTGGCCTCTGTCGGTACTTGGTATGCACACGGTAGATGTATTTAAACATTCATACACATGAAATAAAATTAATCCTTAAAAGGAACTCCCTTAGTAAAAACAGATCTTGCCAACACGTTTTCTAAAATAAAAAAACAAAAATGGGAAAGGCTTAATAAACCAGAAATATAGCAATAAGTTATTTTAACGTAATCTAAATGTGTGAAAAAAATGACCATTAAGGTCATAGTGACTCTGCTCGCCTTTGCCTGCCAAGGATTTCTGGTGAACCATACATAGCGCTGAGTAAGAACTATGTTCTCCACAGCTCAGAAACAAAGACAGCTGCTAGGAAGGGACAATAAAATCTTGTTCGATAGTACTTTCAAATCACAATTTAACTATGTACACACATTTTTATGGCCTTTTCCCAGGTGCTTACTAAGCAACGCAGCAGAAGAAAAAACTGGTGCTGTCTCATCAGTGTCTTATCAAGAGTATTTGCACGAGATCACAACTGTGCTCCCGCCACCCCAGCCCCCCACCCCCCACTGTCCTAGAGCCGTCAGCCAACCTTTGCCCTGGATTGCGTGGTTCCCAGCATTGTGCAAGATAAGAAGAAATCATATTCAGATTGCATTAAGGCTGAATTAAGTGTGCTCAGCACTGATTCCAGTCTGCAAGCTTTTTAAGTAACTTACTACTTACATCGCGAAAGAATAAAAAGAATACAAGAAGTTTTAATTTAATCAAATAACTGTACATCTCTTAGGAAGGTGGAGGATTATGTGCTTGGAGACAATTGTGGTAAGGACTGAAAGGAAACAAGTTAAAAGTTGTCTTCTTTTTCTTTCTTTCTTACTTTTTTTTTCAAAGTCCAATTCAAAAGCCTATTTATCAGTAGATAAAGCTGGTTAATAATTAAATTTTGGACAATAATGCCCTCCTATCAGCATACTGAGGGAATCACAAGGAACTCGAATCTGATCAAACTAAAGCATGCTGGCATTGCTTTTTTCAAGACAGGGTGTTTTGGAACTCTCTCTGTAGACCAGGCTGGCCTTGAGCACAGAGATCCATTTGCCTCTGCCTCCTGAGGGCTGGGATTTAATAGACACATTAAACAGAAACCTGGTAGAAAAGCATTGGAAAGTGTTTGCTTTGTTCAGGTTACTCACAGTCTGCACAGAGCAATCCTTCCATCCCTGTTCCTAGCAAGAATTACACAGAACAAATAATACTTCATTTCAAAAACATTTTTATTAATATTACTTTGTTTTATGTGGATGGTGCTTGGCCACCATGTGTGTGCCTGGTGCTCACGGAGGCCAGAAGGGTGCCTTGGATCCTTTGGGGCTGGAGCTATAGACCACTGTGAGCCACCATGTGGGTGCTGGAAATGAATCCAGGTCCTTTGCAAGAGCCATCTCTCCAGTCCGTGCTTCATTCTTTTTGTTTGGAGGGGAGATGTTGTCTGTCTTTAGGTCTCTCACTATATGGGACAAATTAACCCTGAGTTCACGATGCTTCAGTCTGTACCAAATTTTCCACATAAGCAGTTTTCCAAATAATTGCAAGTTCTTAAATTCTCAAAATTTCAAAGGAAAAAATAGAAAATTTATATCCATTTCTCTGCCTCCTTCAAAATATTTATTAAAAATAGTATTGATAACATCATTATCACAAACATCAAGTGCCCCAGCTACTCCACAGTAAAGCAGAGAGCCATGAACAGCACTCTTCTGAGCATAAGCTGAGGTCCCATGTACTTGGTGAGAGTGGTTTCGCATCTTTCCAGGTCGCTGTCACTGTCCTCACTGAACTTCTGTCCCCTATGTCTGCCCTCACGACAAACAGCTGGGTTGGGTGGCTGGCATCTAACTGCAGTGTAAGGCAGGAAGGTTAGAGGAATCTAGCCATGCACGTGGGACTCTGAGTCACCCAGGGCGCTAGAGAATCAGACCTGCCACCTCATGCTGGTGACTTATGCAGCTTCCTCCAGGATATGCTATGTTGTTCTGACAGCTTTTGACCAGCAAGTGAAGCAAACTGAGTCATGTGAGGATATTACACATAGTAAGGTCGATGTGGCCTCAAGAATTGCTTCTCCAGGACTCTGAGATGCAGAGATGGGAAAAGGAAGGACAAACTGGGATACAATATAATTTTCTTTTCACTCGTCAAAAAGGTTGTAAAAACAAATGCTTGGTGTTTGTGTGTGTGATTTCCACTGAATGTATAACAGGTTCTGCAGGCTTTCACTTGCTCTCCACACCCTCGGCAAAGGGCAGAGCTGCAGGTTCAGCTAACCAGTGCCTGGAGAATTCCAAACTTCTTTTCTTTTTAAATAAAAAGTTTAGAAGCAATCAGAAAGGCTCTTTAAAAATGAAAATCTGTTTTATAATAAGAAATATAATTTTAAACAACTTGAATAAAATTTTAAGTGGACAAGTATAAAAGCTAACTAACTGCCTACTTTATATTGAGGAAGATGAATGTGTGTGTGTGTGTGTGTGTGTGTGTGTGTGTGTGTGTACGTGTATAATAGGAAGTGAAGAGAGAAAAGCTAAGGATTCTGCTGACTAAATATGAAAAAACTTAAAATAAACAGGGTCAATTTTGCAAGCTAAATCCCTTCTTAACTCCACCCATGACTAAGTCATGCCTTTCAGACAAGGAAACATGAGGGCAGGCAGGGAAGTGAAAGGCGGGAAATGACGACAAGCAACTAGCTGGAGGGTGGCCTCCAACTGCATCCGGCTCACCAGCGTCCCTCTAACCACACAGAGAACTGAGGACGACAGCAGCTTCACCCTGTAATGTGTCCTTTGACCTTAGGAGGCCTGCATCTTTTCTTCTAATAGATGTGGTATATGACCTTACGTTTTAAAATATATTTAGCCACTTCATCTTGTTAAGGTATTTAAACACTTGAAAATGCTCTTTTTATTTTGTATTATTTTTTTAAAACAGACTGGAAATCTCTACCCGGGTTGGCATTGATTTAGATCCTATTCTCATCAATAAAACAATTTTCCTATCAAACCTATTACTTAAAAATATCACTTACTGAACCCTTGAGATCTAAGAGAGTAGCGACTTTAAACTGAAGCCGTAGCTTTAGATAACTAATAGATATAACTTGATTCCTTTAGGAGTTTTATGTAAATAGATTAAGACAAAAGGAAAAACATTTTTCTGGGCTCAGGGAACACATGCATCCTAACATCTAAAATTGGCTGCCAAGAGCAGGTATGTTTCACTGTTTTGCCTCTGGTGTGCCGCTGAGTGACATTCTGATCTCCAGAATGTTGTGTTTTAAGAGGACTTTCTTTTGCAAAGGCCTGGAAGACATTTAGCAGCTCTTCAAAAGCAGCTTGAAGCAGCCACATCCTTACCTTACGAAAGAACTGGACATGAGGCCGATGAATCCCACGGCAGCACCCACGACGGCTGTTTTCCGGCAGCCGAACATGTCTGTGAAGACACTGACTATGGGGCAGCAGAAGAAGATCATGCCCATGGACAGCGAGCCTACCCACGCTGGAAAAGAGGGAGAGCGTTACGTCGCAAACCGCACTCATGCCATTCCATTTAGTAAGGGGGTAATCCGCATTGAGGAAGGGCGCCGATGCACACTGGCAACCAGAGGAAGTCTGGACACCAGCTTAACTACTTGGCCAGTGGTGATTCATATTCAACTATATTCAGTTGAGTTCTTGAAAAGATTTTAGCCATGATTCTAATTCTCTTCCTTTATCAGAAAGAAGACTATCTTCAAACACTATGTGTGTGCTGATACCAAACTCGGGCCCTGCAAGAGCGCAGGTGCTCTCAACCACAGAGCATCTCTCCAGCCCGTTGTACTGTACTATTCTGGCAGCCCCAGCATCAGTATTGTGCTCAAGGGAACATCTCCAGAGAATACAAAGAGCGACGGGGATCCAAACTAAACAGGGCACCACAGGACAGTCTGCCAGACTGTCAGTGAACCTGCTCCCTCCAACCCGAAGCCTAAACCAAGAAAAACATCTGCTAAGGATGAACCTAGAACAAACATTAGCAGAGGCTCTGGAGGAAGAAAAGCTAACTGGAAAGAAGGCATTGGTGTTGTCTGAAGGGCAAGAGAGAAGCAGAAAGAGACGGAAAGCTCAGTCTGCAGATAGCATGGGAGAGGGAGCTGTGGGAAATCTGGGGGCAACTTTTCAAAGCTACTTTTACTAAGGAGTTTATGAATGTTAATTTTTAGGACTCCAATAATTGGATTATCCATACATACACTCTCTCTGGGTCGTTCTTTTTTTTTTTTTTTGGAAAGTTCTACCACCTTAAATAAAATAAATATTGACTTAATGTTGTAAGCCACATATAAAGCTGATTCAGCATTCGATATATGTGCTTTAAAGTTTTAGTCTCGTGCATACAGTGATATTTTTATGGTACATATTTGAATTTTACATAGTTTTTCTGGAGCAAAAAAAACCTGATTTTTTTAACCTAGGTTTTATGCTGTTTTAGTGAGACATGGGTAATCATGGCCACCTGCTAATTATTTGTGGTTTAAAATAAAAGGATTTTGCTAAGCATGGTGGCTCACTTGTAACTGGGTGGCTGGAGTAGGAGGATCACTGTGAGTTCAAGTCCAGCCTGAGCTACATAGATGTCTTTTTAAAAAAAATCACTCGGTCAGGCGGTGGTGGCGCACGCCTTTAATCCCAGCACTTGGGAGGCAGAAGCAGGCGAATCTCTGTGAGTTCGAGACCAGCCTGGTCTACAGAGCTAGTTCCAGGACAGGCTCCAAAGCCACAGAGAAACCCTGTCTCGAAAAACCAAAAAAAAAAAGAAAAAAGAAAAAAAAATCACTCATCAGTAATAATTTAATCCCATTTTTAAAAAAATCTTAGTAATCTATGGTTAAGAAATGACTTTCTGGGCTAGGTATGGTGGTGATTACCTTTAATGCCAGCACCCAGAAGGCTGCAGGAGGATCTCTGAGTTTGAGATTAGCCTGAGCTACATGGTTACAGGACAACCGAGGCTACACAGTGAGTTGATGTCTCAAAAAATAAATAAATGAAGGAAACAACGATACGACTAAAGAAACAATACACTACCAAACCCCAGCAGAATAGAGTACTGCCGTCCATTCTTAGACAGAGGAACCTCTACAATCGAGGGACTAACATCAAATAGTGAACCACACCAAGAAATCTAAGAGCATATGTTACGTGTAATGTTCACAAGTCAAAGTACACTCTGCCCGCTCCCCCAAAAACAACTAAATAAAAAACAACATAAGCACAAACAAAACCCTTGCAAAAGTTTTTTGACTACTGCAGATTTTGGTAAAAATCATACATAGTTTTACCTTTTCTAAAAATATACTATCTTTTACAAGAAAAACATCTTGAAAATTAAAAATCACGCCTTCCTGCTGATTCCGCAAGAATACATACAAAAAACCCAAAAACGTAAAAATAAGTATTAAATAGGCATGATAGTCATAATTCTGCTAAAATAATTAATGTTCTTATATCTATGCCAAACATGATAACTTACAGGCTTGCACATTTATTAAATTGCACCAAGAGCAAGGTATAATCATATACAGTTTCTTGATTATTCTCTCAACATTCCTCTGTGGAGGGAACAGATCTGAGTGGCCTTTTTTGTCTGTGCTAAATAACAGGAAGCCTGCAGCCACTCCAGCTAACATTCCAGTCTTCATTTAGTAACTGAATAAGTTCTAGACCCAGGGATGGACAGGAAAGACTTGGGATCAGCTGCTTCCCAGCTCTCCCCATCCCTTGCTATTAGTTCTCTCCAAGGTGGGTATGGGAGAGGAGGCTGGGGGAAGGAAGGCAAGGACATTGCGCCTTCAACGGTACTACCAAAGGGTAGTGGTTGCTGACTGGAATGGATGTGGGTTCTTCGGAACGCTACTCTGAGCTCCTCTTAGCCATGTCACTACTGACAGCTTCTGGCTGTCATTCACAAGCCTACAGGAACCTTGCCGTCCCTCCAGGCAATCTATTTGGGCTGGAGGCAGAACAGCTAAGGAGCTACCTCTCACCTACTCAGCCTCCTCTGATCTGTAGGAAGCACTCACAAATCCTTTCCAATCCCACACCAGCCGCCTCCTGTATAGCTCTCCCCTTGCCGGAGCTGTGAGCTGCCTTGTGGGTGCTGGGAATCAAACTTGCGTCCTCTAGAAGAGCAGTCTGTGCTCTTAACCATGAAGGCCTCTCTCCAGCCCCTCCTAGTTTCCAGGGGCTTTGTCTCAGTCCTCTGTGCCCCACCCCCCATGGACAGAAGTCCTCTTCCCTCTAGAGACTCTCTGCTGGACATCAAATGTAAGGGCATGTCCCTTGTGCTTCTTCCACTCATGGGGGAAGAAGGCACAACATAGAGTTCTGAAGGAGCCTCACAAAATGTTCTTTCTAACACAAATCCTTCCCAGGATTCTGAGTTTTCAGTACTATTTTAAAGCTTCTCCCCAACCCCTGAGCACCTATTGATCACATGGAATAGTCACTCCTGAAACTTTAGTCTAATTTTCGTCTATTAAAATGAAAAGATTTTATTTTTCCTTCCGTTACCACATGCGGCTTGCTGGGCATGGTATTCGGAACTGGCAGCTGTTATCTTTCAGAATCTGATCTATATTATTCCAAGCCCTTCTAGCTTTAAAGGTTCTGTTCTATAACCCGGCTTACTCTGATGGGCCTGCCTGCTGTAACTTAGCATTTCTCTCTCGCCACTTTCAGTCTTTGTTCTGTATAACTGATATTTTAGCTATAACGTGGTCTATCTGTTTGGTGCACTGACTGCCTCCTGTATCCGTTTTCCTATCTCCAGGAAATTTTGTTGCAGTCCTCTTGAAAATGTTTTCTCTCCCTTTGGTGTGAGATTTTTCTTCTCTATGCTTCTATAACCCATAAATTTGGTCTTTTTGGTGTTGTATCTATCTTGGAATTCCTACTGGTTCCATCTTATCATTTTATTTTTGTCACTGTTGAATTGTCACAGTTCCCCCACCTTGTTTCCAGGCTCAGACAGTCTGTCCTCTCCTTGACACATTAAGGAACCGATGTTGGTATTTTGTTCTTTATTCACATTTCTCTAGATTCACCTAATGTCAGATTTTGCTCTGAGACACCACACTTTATTTAACAGACATGCCTGCTTAGGCTCCCTGACTCGTGACAGTGTGCAGCCCTGAGTATTTCTCAGGAATATGATAGGGCGTCCCTGGATGTGGCTCTGTGCAGCTGTGAGTGCCCCAAAGGAACAGCACGGTCATAAACTGGCACATTATCAAACCGCATCAAGGCCACGTCAAGGCCACATAGCCAACGTGACTTATCACCTTTGCCCACCTCACTCAGTGGTGTCTCCAGGATCCTCACTGTGAAGTTGCCTTCCTTCCCCTTCTTACACTGCGCTCTTGGAAGGAAGCCACTAAGTACAGCTCACCCTGCAGGAATGAGAATTAAGCTTCACCTTGGAAGCAAACTGTCTGCCTACATAAGCTGTTTGGAATTCCTCTGCCTGAGAGATCAATATGTTCACCCACATTCACTTCTACAGACACAACAGGGCTCGCAAACAGTTATTATATGATTTTGATCATATTCAAATCGTATTGACTACCGGAGGCTCTGTGGGGGGTTCTTTCATTTGGCTCTGTCACTCTTTGACATAAGCCCCCACTTACAAAATTTGGGGGGCGTTGTTTGTTTCTTAAAGGCAGGATTCTATATAGCCTAGGTTGGCCTCAAACTCATAATCCTTCTGTCTCGGTTATCCAAGCAGCTGGAATTATAGGCATGCAGCACTATACCCAGCTTGTGTGTCTCTGTAATCATCAGGATATACATTAAGTCACCCTTCAACTAATATTGGTGTCTCCAATTCCATCATCGCAGGACTTGTCTAGGCTTTAGCCTGTCTTGGTTGGAACCTTTCATTCCAACAGTGAAAATTCAAAAATATGCTTTTCATCTCAGAAGTTAGGAAAGCATCGCTAGGTGTGGTGGCATATGCGTGTGATCCAGAAATCAGGAGGCCGGGGCAGAGGCTTGTAAATTCAAGGACCAGACTGGGTCTCAGCAAATTTGATGCCAGTCCAGACCTACACAGCAAGACCTTGTCAAAAGGGGAGTGAGGTCCAAATCAGGAGCAGAAGGAGAGAGAGCACAAGCAAGGAACTCAGGACCGTGAGGGGTGCACCCATACACTGAGACAATGGGGATGTTCTATCGGGAACTCACCAAGGCCAGCTGGCCTGGGTCTGAAAAAGCCTGGGTCAAAACTGGTCTCGCTGAACATAGCGGACAAGGAGGACTACTGAGACCTCAAGAACAATGGCAATGGGTTTTTGATCCTACTGCACCTATTGGTTTCGTGGGAGCCTAGGCAGTTTCGTGGATGCTCACCTTACTAGACCTGGATGGAGGTGGATGGTCCTTGGACTTCCCACAGGGCAGAGAACCCTGATTGCTTTTTGGGCTGACGAGGGAGGGGGACTTGATTGGGGGAGG